CACATTATGTTGAGAAAATTTTGAAAAAATATAATTTATTGATTGCAAGCATGTTGTAACCCCTTTTGATTCAAGTGTTCACTTATTTCCTGTACAAAGTGACAATGATGTGATAAATCAAAAGGAATATGCTAGCTTAATTGGAAGCTTGAGATATATGACTGATTGTACTCGGCGTGATATTGCATACGCAGTAGGAGTACTTAGCAGGTTTACAAGCAAGCCAGGTAAAGAACATTGGCATGCCATAACAAGAGTTATGAGGTATTTACTTGGTACAAAAACCTATGGCTTATTTTATAAAAAATATCCTGCTATACTCGAAGGCTTTTCTGATGCAGATTGGAACACTTTATCTGGTGATACCTGTTCTACTACGGGTTATATTTTTACTTTGGGAGGTGGTGCTATTTGTTGAAAATCGAAAAAGCAAACAATAATTGTTAACTCTACCATGGAGGCTGAGCTAATTGCTTTAGCTTCAGCCAGTGAGGAAGCGAATTGGTTGAGAGATTTATTATTTCAAATTTCTTATTTTAAAAAACTAATTCCTCTTATTTTTATTCATTGTGATAGCACCGCTGCAATTAGTAGAGTACAAAATCGTTATTACAACGGTAAATCCAGACCCATAAAGAGAAAAATATAGTATTGTGAGTTATTTGGCAAGTGGTACTATTAATGTTGATTATGTGATAATCTTGCAGATCCACTAACCAAGGCCTTGGCAAGAGAAATGGTCTGGAGCACATCGAGGGGATGAGATTATAGCCCATAAATTCATAAGTCATATATGAGGAAACCCAACCTGGGAACTAGAGATCCTATAACCAGGTTCAATGGGAAGAACGAATCATATAATGGTTTGGTTTGAAATGCACTATTTTTTTATTGTTCCATCCCTATGGTGTGAGTGCATTTATCCTGTAATGATTTTCGAGGTTGAGTTTTATTAACTCTTAATGAAAATCTGTAGCTCGTATGAGTGTGGTGTTAGAGTTACAGGAGCACCCTTGACAGATTTCACCTATGTGAGTGTGGAAGTAGGCCGCTTCCTATGAGAATTGGGCTTGTTCTCAAAAACACTCATGAAAACCGGGATAGCACAAGGTCGTAATGTGCTGGCTAGTAAAGCTCATGTCAACACCTTGATTATTATGTGTAAGCAGTGATATTTAATTTCCTTAAAGCAGTCATAGTTCAAGTCTGAGACCACTACTGACTCTGGAGTAAAGATCGTTGTTTTGCTAAGTGGAGGTTCAATGCAGAGCACACCTTCATTATGCATAATAGTCTCCCTTCAACTGGTAAACTCTCTTATTTTAATATTAAAATGAGTGGGGGAATGTTGGTGTTAGTGCATTTTAATATTAAAATTTTAATATTAAAGTGCATTATTTCTTGTGAGATAGTGATTATAAATTGGCAAGAAAGTGGTCATTATTTTGGTGTAACTCATGAAACTACTAATGCCATGATCTACCACTAATTACCCACTAAAGATTATATTTTGTAACCACCAATCCATGTTCTACTATTTTATTATCCCACTATCTTATTATTTATTTCATGGAAGAAATTATACACTTATAAATAGTGGTGTTCTTCCTTGTGTTTGCTGTGGGAAAATATGGTAGTGTGTATGAAAAAAGTGAACTTGGTGTAGTGAAAAAGAGAGTTATGAGAAGGAGAAAATCTAAGTCTCCAACTTATTCTCTACAAAAGAGAATATTATTTTTTGTTGAAGGAAGGTGTTCATTTTGGTGGAGCTTTGGACTCAACAACTTGTCCAGAGTTTGTTCGAGTCATACGACGTTGTCGGGCTGTTGTATCCTAGAGGGGACAAGTCAAGAGTATTACTGTTGGACCGGTGAAGATGCTACCGCAGTGGGCTTGAATCTCCTTAAAGAGAGTAAGATATCTGCGCCTCAGCCTGAAGAATTATTATTTATTTTTCTTCATCTTATTTTCAACTGTAATTACTTGTAATTTCACCAACAAAAAATATATAGAAATGCAAAAATTATATTATTAACCTACATAAATTTTCAATCTTTGTAAGTTCAGAAGATACCCAATAACTCTGCATTCTACTATTTCGACAATGTAACATTTAATTTTAATTTAAATAAAAATTGTATTTATCTTGACGTCAATTGCACATAATTCATTCTTATTCTCAATTTTATTCATTTTTTTAGTAGACACAAAAAACACTTGCAATGCACTTAAAGCTAGTTAATACTTAATAGTGTGGCTGTTTGCACTTGTGGCACTGATTGGTGCCAGTTTGTGGTGCATGTAATAGTGGGTATCCATGTTGGCTTTTGCCAATATCTTGATTTTCTTTTTTGTTTGTTTGTTTATATTTTATATCTAACTTTAAAGATATCTCCTGTTTGGTTATGGAATAAAGTAAAAGTTGGAGGAAAAATTAATTTATCACGCGAGGAGTTTAATCTAATTGGAATAATCCCAACGATATCACCCTTACAATAATAATATCTACAAGTTTAATTTATATACACCATAATATACAATTTTTATACTATTAGGTCATTCAAAAGATTTTTACAAATAACTTTTGATAAAAAGTGAGATTATAAGCCAAGCTGCCAGCTGCAATAAAGTGACCTGATAATGTAATTTTTCTATATCGTTGGGGAATATATTTAAAATCATTATGTACTATTTTAGTACACATGTATTCTTTATTTTTTAATCGCACGCACTTCGTTAGTTACCAATTTTAGTCAGCAGTCAAATATTCTTATAATATCTTTATTCCATGAATTTTTATTACTTTCCCTGTCATCGTTTTTAATGTGCGGCTTCAAATTCCAAGTATACTTTTTACTGAGTACAAGAACTTGGCTAAAATAAGAACTGACATTTTGTTAATTAAAAGAACGCCATTATTGGCCAGCTATATTTAGTTATTCGTTTGACATTAATTACGAACATAAATTAATACTTCTCTTTCGTCTAAGATGAACTAATTTTAATACTCCTTCTAGATCATTGTATCATCCAACGCATTAAATTCATAAGCAAAGTCGGTTTCCCAGTTGTTTAAGAATCATATGATTGATTAGTTAAGTTCGTGTAATTTTTATGGACGTAACTATATGGTATTTACAAATGGTAAAACTTATTTGAACCAGATGTTCACACTAAATCATACTAATTTACTATGATTAGGTCATAATTTAAGGGGAGAGTGTGTATTTTTTAATTAAGTGAATTTGGAATATTGTGGACGTGTTATGAAAGCGTCATTTCAGCTTCTTTGAATCACATCAATAGATCAAATAATGTTGGAAAAGGCTTTAGAAAAAGTAAATAGATATATAGATATAGATGTTTTTTCTAACTTTACCAATTACCAAACCTTACATTTTCTTGCATCACATTTCCTAGAATAAGAAAACCGTCTTTGTTTTACTGTTTCAAAACCCTCGCCAAGTTGCCCACTGAGTAAGATCATTGATTTCACGTATAATTTTACATACAATTACCCTGGAAATTAAAGTTTCTTTTTCCTTTTTGGGTTGTGACTTGTGATGGCAGAAGTAAGAAGCTGATGCTGGCTTTACTTATTCTTCAACTGCTTCGTTAGTTTGGAGGTAATTAATTTGCTATGAAATTCTTTATCAACTACTTGCATCACTCTTATAAAGTTTGTTCTCTTATTTTCTTCTTTGAGAGCAGAAGCATATAGACAGAGACGGATTTAGGATATAAATTTTATGGGTCAATGTTCAAATTTATGGGTTCTGACCTACTATTTGTTGTAATTTTTGTGAATTTTTATATATAAATATACTCTCTTCATGCAAAGTACTGAGTTCAGTTCAACCCGATAACCGTACGTGTGTTCGGTAAATGTGATCTTAGTATATATGTATAATATTTTTTTGTATGTATACATAGTTCGAGTCAAGGCACTTTTAAAGGGGATAGATAAGGTCAGAAGGATATGGGAGTAATATTTGATCAGATGTTGATATTTTTCTTTAAGAGCATCATTTATGGATAGTTAACTACTCTAAATATGAAAGACGAAAAGAATGTTTCTGTTGTTAATGTTCTAAGTAGCTTATTCTGACCTTCAAAAAACGGTCCTTTTGGCTGTTTACTGCTAATTAATCCTCGTCGAATTAAAGAATTACTATTGTTCCCTTTTTTATCTTCAGTCTTTTTTTTCCAGCCGATGGTCTATCGGAAAAAGCTTGTCTCCCCTTCCAGGATAGGGGTAAGGCTGCGTACATCTTACCCTTCTCAGACCCCACTTGCGGGAATCACTGGGATTTTTATTGTTATTGTTGTTGAATTAAAGAATTACTATATATATTTCTCATCAGTTCCAAAATTTTGTTCTGGTAAAACCTAACTGATGTAATAGTTCCCAAGCTCATTAAGATATCACCATAACGAGATATCGGACACTTGTCTTCATTTTGCGTCACTTATAATATAAAAAGATTAATTGAAGACAGTTGATTGCAGCAATCTTGATTGGGCCTACAGATATGAGTAATTGAAGACAGGAAACAGGTCAGGTTTGACACTGATTCAACTCTTTTAAATGCTATCTTCCCTCTCAATCTTCATAACCAACCTCTTGAATTAATCCTTTGTTTCATTAACAGGTCAACAGCTGAGATACTCTCATGGCATTCTCATTTTCTCTTGCAGCCTTTGTTCACCCTCAACTCCGGCATGTTGTTGCAAAGATGTCTCTGTTCGACACAATTTTGTTCTATGTTAGTGTTCTCTGTTCCCCTCTTTTATACGAGCACCAGCTGTGATATTATGCTTTACAAACTAGAATATTGTTTTTACTAATGCTCCTGTTTTTGATATGTCAGGTGGTACATCTTTTGGACAAGTTTGATCTATGGCACAGATTACCAGTTTTACTCGGATTGGCTTACCTAGGACTAAGAAGACACTTGCACCAGCGATACAACCTCTTACATGTTGGAGAAGTTAATGGCAAGAAATATGACACAGAAGAGTTCTCGTATCGGACTGCTGATGGTACATGCAATCATCCTACGGATCATTTAGTGGGCAGTCATGGAACCTTCTTTGGTCGCAACATGCCACCAGCAACTTCAAGTTATGGGGTAAGCTAACAATACAATCAATCATACTGTTCATTTTTTGATAGCTAATTAGCATGATCCAATAAATGTGCCTTAGTCATATCGCTATCTGTAATCTATAGCTTGAGATCTCTCATTCATTTATGAGTTACGACAATATCATTTGATTATGCAGCTGCTGGAACCTCATCCAGTAACAGTGGCCACGAAGCTCTTGGAAAGGAGAAAGTGCACAGATTGTGGGAGCCAATTCAACATGATAGCGTGCGCGTGGGTACAATTTATGATCCATGATTGGAATGACCATATGGAGGACACTGAACAGGTACCTATAGCTACTTCTTGCATCAATAAAGGCATGAAAGAATTCATCACTTGTTGCAATAACAGGCAAAAGTTGGTGGGAGACCATTTTCTGCTGTCTAACTTGTCAGATTCGGTATTTACTTTGCTTTATGAGGCTATTATGCTAAAGTTCTTGAAGGTTTTAGGGAAGATATCATTGTTTTCATTTCCCATTTTAAGGACCAGAAGAGATTAAAAGGTCAAAAGTTGGTTATATGCACTTAAAGAATTAGAGTATTACTCGTCATGGTAAAGGTGTGTTTTATGTTTCTCTAACACAAATTTTTTGACAGGTGGAACTTAGAGCTCCTGAAGATGTTGCAGCAGGGTGTCCACTGAAGTCATTTAAGTTCTTTAAGACGAGAAAACTTCCTACAGGTTCACCTGATCTGAAGTTTGGGCATTTGAATTCAAGGACCCCATGGTGGTGAGTAGACTCAAAAAATTTAAACCTTACAAGGTTCTCTCATATTTTGAAATTTTGTGATTTTATTTCTACTTCTATTCACTCCAAAGCATGCAGTAAAAATAAATACCCTACTGCTGATGGAGAAAGCTAATGATACAAGACATTGGTGGAAAAGAATTACATGTTTAACCGACAAGATTATTGGACAAAGAAAGAAGAAAGTTAAGTCCATCATCAAGTCCATACCCTTGCACCCCGAAATCAAAACTGTCATAAATTTACAAAAGCATGAATACTCCCACAATCGGATGGTTCTAATAGCAGGTTATTCTCTGTTAATGGAGAGAAACTTCAAGAGAGAGTATTGCATGTTAAGTTTAGTCAAGCTAAATAGATTCTTAAAATCAATAGTAAAATCAATGAAATACTGTATCAAAGGCTTCTTAGTAGCATGCTAAAGGAGTCAAGGTAATAACCACGATGGAGATGGAGGGGGAAAGGAGGCGGAAATATGATTCCGTGTTTACATATACGCTGGTCAACTCTTGTCCACACTGTCCAATTGGAACTCAATTTGATTTAATTCATTTTAATGCAGATTGGAAGTTAGTCTAATTGCTGGAGTTTTATTTCATCTGATGAATTATATATGTTCCTGCTGTTTTGTTAGGGATGGGAGTGTAATATATGGGAATAATAAGGAGGGCATGATTAGGGTGAGAACATTTAAAGATGGAAAGCTCAGGGTCTCAGGAGATGGACTTCTTGAACATGACGATAATGGCATTCCAATATCTGGAGATGTTCGTAACAATTGGGCAGGCTTCTCTCTGTTGCAGGCCTTGTTTGTTAAGGAACATAATGCCATATGTGATATGCTTAAAGTATGTTTTTCTTTTCAGCTTCTTCAGGATAACTTTGCACCTTAAAATAACTGAGTTTGCTTATAAACCTGATTTTTGTTTCAGGATTCTTACCCTGAATTTGACGATGAAAAGCTGTACCGACATGCAAGATTGATAACTTCAGCAGTCATTGCTAAAATCCATACCCTTGATTGGACAATTGAACTTGTTAAGACTGATACTCTAGTGGCGGGAATGAGGATCAACTGGTAAGCCCACTGCTAGGTACTTGATAAATTCTATGTTGGCGAGATCCTCCAAAAATGTCATCGTATCCGTGTGGGATCCCTAAAAAAGTAATTTATTTTTGGAAGATCTGACACGGGCGCAGCGACATTTTTTGCAAACATAGTAGTATAAAATAGTACTACTATGTTGCTGCCATGTGAAGGGGAACCTTGGCGTAACTGGTAAAGTTGTTGCCATGTGACCATGAGGTCACTGGTTCGAGCCGTGGAAACAGCCTAATACGGAGTAAGACTGCTTACAATAGACTCTTGTGGTCCGGCCCTTTCCCGGACCCCGCACATAGCAGGAGCTTAGTGCACCGGATTGCCCTTTATAGTAGTATAAAATAGTAATCCTACATGGAGTAGTTGGATAAAGTACCAAAATAGCTAGTGCCTGAAACTGTCTGCTATAAATGTGGTTGGATTAACAATGCAGCTCCCAGTTTCAATTTGTTGTCATGCATCATGCTTTGCATTGCAAATGACTATAACATTAACTATTAATGTTAACTAACAGAGTCTACTTTGATTCAGGTATGGCTTTTTGGGGAAGAAAATCAAGGATTTGCTAGGACCTAAGTTTGGACCAATTCTGAGTGGATTAGTTGGTCTTAAAAGGCCCAGAGATCACGGGACTCCCTACTCATTGACTGAAGAATTTGTTAGCGTCTACAGAATGCACTCACTTTTACCTGACAAAATTATTCTGAGGGACTTGAAGTCGACTACTTCAGAAGACAAATCCTTGCCTATTCAAGAAGAGTATGTTATCCAGTTACACACATTTTGCATTATAAACTCTCGAAATTGATTATAGGACACGAATAAGAATCTGATCCACACATTTGATTTATAACACAAAAAGGCCAGATTTATTGAAATCAGAAATGAAAAAGTTAGGAAATGTTTGTGCTTTCTAACTATCTAGTTTGATCAGGATTCCTATGACGGAAATGATTGGGAAAGAAGGAGAAAAAAGCTTGTCCAAAATTGGTATAGAGCAGATGCTGGTATCAATGGGTCATCAGTCATGTGGAGCTGCTACATTGTGGAATTATCCGACGTGGATGAGGAATCTTGTTCCTCATGATGTTGATGGAGAAGAAAGACCAGATTTAGTTGACATGGCCGCATTGGAAAGTATGTTTATTCATTCTTCCCTATTGACATAAAACATTGTCCTCGTATTTCATAGAAACTACAGACTGACTTGCTATTATAATAGTTTATAGAGATAGAGAGAGGGGAGTTCCACGGTACAACGAGTTCAGAAGGAATTTGCTGATGATACCAATTAGCAAGTGGAAGGATTTAACTGATGATGAAGAAGTAATTGAGGCTTTGCGAGAAGTATATGGTGATGATGT